ATAGAATAGAATAGAATAGAATAGAATAGAATAGTTATTGTACATTTACATCTAAATTAAAGGTGCTGCACACCAACTATGCTGGAATAAAATATAAATAAAAAAAAACAGCAGGAATAAATGGCAAACAGGCAATATGTCTAGAATCAAGAGTGATATAAACCAAACATTCAAAAGTCAAAAAGCTGCTTAGCCTCCCAAACACTATTTTTCCTAGGAAGAAATCCTAAAAAGCATTTTAACATCAGCAAAAAGAAGTTCTATTCATAAATAAAGCATTTGGTGGACTTTATTGATAGCTAATCATACATGCCCTGTGGAGTGCATGTAAAGGTACATGAACAGTTTTATGCATAGATTTTTCTTTAGTTTTGCATTTGATGAGGTGAACACTGATGACAGCAGACACCACGATGATTAGACCAACAGAAAACACGACTGTCTTCACCATACAGGATGAGATAAGATAAAACCAGTAATACCTGTCACTGGATGTAGATACTATTTGATTCACAATGTAATTGTCATTGTATATGTTTTACTGTCTGTAACAATGCACCATATATTGAACACACTTTACCAAAAATAGCAAGTTACTTTTCACTGAATAGTCGCTTATACAATGTTTAATAATTTACTGGTCTCTTAGTTCTTTTTCACACATGCAGATCAATGATGTTTTGCATGTGTGGATGTTATCCAAATGTTGTTTGCTGGCCTGGGAACGCCTTGATGTCCCCCGGATAAGCTGGAGGAGGTGGCTGGGGAGAGGGAGGTCTGGGCTTCTCTGCTTAGGCCGCTGCCCCCATGACCCTGCCACGGATAAGCAGAAGATGGATTTGATGGATTTAGAATTCCAATGAATAAAAAATTATTACTATTATTACCCAGCATTTTAAATTTCCCAATGAAGGAAGTAGCATCTTTTCATAGATGGAGAACAAGAAAGAGAATTACCATTAGCAGAACAGCAGAAAAGCTTGTTTTTGCCATACTTCAGTTTGCACCCCAACCTTGTTACATATTCAAACTGATCTGAATTTCAGCTGTTAAAACAATTTTTACATCATTTTGTTTTTTTCATAATTTTCTCCCAAAATGTCAGACAACCTATATGATTGTCTTTCAACAAAAGCATTTGCAATATCATTCTGTCTTAAAAGAATCTGAATGATATAATGATTGTTGTTCAATATACAGACAGTATGTAATGAAAAACACAGTTTTAGTACATGTGTTTCCAG